AACCCTTAAAACCCCCCCCCCCCCCCCAAGCCCCAGAACCCAGAACCCTAACGCGACATTGAAACATCGTGTTGAGATCGTCTAGGCGTCTGGATTTGGATTTCGGGGGGTCGGTCATTGTGGCGAGGGTAGTTAGAAGAGCTTATTAAGCTGCTTAGGGTTTACTATAGCGGTCTGAATACCTTTGTTCTAGTCCAACTGAGTTTTATTCCGATTCATTCCTGAAGACCCCATTTCGGTTATGGAGGCACTTATATCATCGAACCCTTACGGCAACCCTTATCTAATAAAGAACCCTTAGCAGCTACTATGGGTTGTAAAGTAGAGCATCGAGACTTCGAATTCAGTGTTCGGGTTTTGGGATTTGGGTTCGGGGCTTTTCAGTGCTTCGTCTTTTGACAGTCTTCCTGCATTCCTGGCATACTTTTTCTGACAGTGGCAGCCCCGGTTACGGGCGCCCCAGACTATGAACGGCCTTCGAAACCCTAAACCCTAAACCGATCTCTGTTCCAGGAAGCCGCTTGGGCGTTCCGGGCGGACTTGCCGGGGCAGGGCTTGCGCGCCGGGCTCGGGCAGGAGAGTGAATGTCCGCTTCAATTCAGTGGTGCAGAGCTCTAGACCCTAATGTGGTTATAATTGTAATAAGGAGCCCCCCAAGCCCTATTCTAATAATTAAGGTCCCTATATTGGATCTCAAACCCGACTTGTAGTTGTAGACTGCAAACCTACTAGCCTTAAAGCTTAAACCTTTAGGCCTCCAAGAGGCAGCCTTCGAAGCTGCTTCAACCTCTGCCGATGCTAGGTCCATACGACAAGATGCCCGAGAGGATGAAAGAGCAACTTAAGGTGCGAATGCCAACAGTTCTCAGGGTTCAGGGTGCAGACATGCACCTGCGATTGTTCTGGTTGGCAGCAGTGCCGTCTTTGGTGGTGCTATAGTATAGCTATCGTTTGTATCAGGTCGCTGTGTGGTGATAGTTAACGTCAGTTTGATCACGCCGACCACTAGTCGAGTCATCATGACTTTCACTGTAGTGCTGTGGTTCCCGTCTCGCTGTTGATCTAGCCAAACAGTAGCTTGGTTCAGGGATGACCCCGACGTGAACACTTTCGCATGGCTGCGCTTTGGGTCTTCGGGCATCTGCGTTCGAGGGAGGAAGGGGCTTCTGATGCTCCTTCTGCTGTCGCTGCTACTTGCGACAACAAGAACAACAGCAAAACCAACTCGACGGTGCTGCCACTCCTCCTCTTCCGCCTCCTTTTCCTCCTCCTCCTCTTCCTGCTCTCCCTGCTCCTACGACTCCTGAGGGTAAAGGAAACACACCATCATCAACAACAGCTGCCGCAACAAGCACAAGAAACATCACCGTCACAATCATCATCACCACCATTGCCAGCATCATTGTTGTCGTCACCAGAAGCATCGCCGGCATCAGTAATTGTCAGCAGCATCCTCACAACTTAAGAACAACTATAAGTTGAGTCGTTTTTTGCAACAAGATGAGATCCGAAAGAAGAACCGGAAGTGACAGTTATCACGTACTGCTGAAGCTGCGCTGCGGATACTGCATCTTCTGAGAATGAAGATGCATGTGTTGCTTCTCCTGCTGTATTGTTAGTAGCTCCTAAGCAAAGACCTACATGTATAAGCATCAAGAGCGACACCCAGACGAATCAGACAAGATGCTCACAGCATTTGGCTTGGAACGCACCTGCCCTTGCCCAGCCACTTGCCATGGCGAAGGGCGTGGAGAAAGTCGCGAAAGAGGAAGAACTACAAGCTAACATCTGGAAGCTGATCTGGTACAATGGCATATTTTCCGTGTTCTCCTCCATTGCTCAACTCGGACTCTTCGACACCTACCTCTTCATCCTGGCGGGAAACTCCAACACTGCTGTAGGCTGGGCAGAATCAATCTCTGGACTCAGCCAGATTGTGCCTCGGATTCTCTTAATTTCGTCGTACGGTCTTTGTTGTTACAGAGGTAAGTTGAGGTAAGTATGACCTTTAAGACGCTTATTCCTACCACTACCATTACTACTACTATGACGACGACGATGACGACTACTGCTGCTGCTGCTACTACTACCACCACCACAACTACTGCTACCACTAAAGTATATGTAGCACAACAGCAACAACAACAAGTACCACTGCCACTTCCACTTGCGCTGCTACTCCTACTTTTACTCCTACTCCTACTCCTACTACTGCTCCTGCTCCTGCTCCTCCTCCTACTGCTACTACTACTACTACTACTACTACTACTACTAGTACCACCACCACTATAACTACCACTGCTATTACTACTACTGCTACTACGACTACTGCTCGTGCTAGTATACTACTACTACTACTACTACTACTACTACTCCTCCTACTACTACTACTACTACTACTACTACTACTACTAGTACTGGTACTACTGCTACTGCTCCTACTACTACTACTACTACTGCTACTGCTACTGCTACTACTACTACTACTACTACTGCTGCTACTACTACTACTACCACTACTACTGCAACTACTCCTACTCATGCTGCTGCCGCTGCTACCACGACTACTACCACGGCTACTGCTACCGCGACTACTACTACTACTACTACTACTACTACTACTACTACTGCTACTACTACTGCTACTACTAGGACTACTACTACTACTACTACTACTACTACTACTACTACTAGTACTACTACTACTACTACTACTACTACTACGACTACTAGGACTATTACGATTACTATTAGTATTACTACTACTACGATTACTACTACTACTACTACTACGACTACTAGGACTACTACGATTACTATTAGTACTACTACTACTACCACCACTACTACTACTACTACGACTACTACTACTACTACGACTACTACTACTACTACTACTATTATACTATTATACTACTATACTACTACTACTACTACTACTACTACAACTACTACTAGTACTACTACAACTACTACTACTACTAGTACTACTACTACTACTACTACTACTACTATTACTACTACTACTACTACTACTACTACTACTACTATACTTTTATACTATACTATACTACTACTACTACTACTACTACTACTACTACTACTAGTACTACTACTACACCTGTGAGAGAGAGAAGGGACACACCTGGAGAGAAGGGACACCTGGAGGGACACCTGGAGGAGGGACACTTCGAGGGAGACACACCTGGAGAGGCACTTACATGGCGGGCGGCTTTACTCAGGAAAGCCTGGCATGTTTGTGTGCTGTGTGTGCAGCTGTGTCGGGCCGTGTGTGTGAAGCTGTGCATTGCTGCAGTCAGGACACAGGATGTTTTGTGACATGTCGCACTTGTTTTCCGAAGCACGTTTTTGCTTGCTTTTTAGAAGGTGCACTGAAGTTGCACAGTTTTGTTGCAGTCCTGTCGGCTGGTCTGTGGCGACATGGCGAGTCGCTCTAGAGTTGTTGCGGACCCCTCAATCGGGGTTTCGGACTTGGAGAAGGTGCTGACGGGCTTCTTGGAGGAGAATGACACCGGTGGCAAGAGGGCGAATGTCTTTGAATACTTGAGGCCGCCCACAGGTTGCCATTGGAAGAGTACTCCTCACCCGGCTTACCTCGGTCGGGTCTCCAAGCTTCTCGCAAAGTACATGGAGCTGGCCCCCAACGGCGTGATCCCTGGAAAGAAACACAAACAGGCGATCCTAGCTGTCGACAGCAAGCTCACGATCAATCAAACCAAAAAATCTGCAGAGGACTTCGCGGATATGGTGGACGATTGGGTGAGGATGTCTCTGTCACACTGCAGACTGCTTCGGGGCTGTGAGACAGCGAAAGCTCGCTGCTTCAGACGAGCAGACACTGCTCAGGTAGCAGCTTTGGAGGAAGTCCTTGGCCTCATGGTTGGGGTCGAGGAGGCCCCATCAAGCTCTGTCGGCACCCCGACTCTGGATTTGGTACTTGTAACCCCGCCTTCGTCCTCCCCTCCCAGCAGACATCCTTCGTTTGCCGAGCTGGATGCAGAGAAGATTGTGGAGCCGATTCTTGACCCTGCTGCTGTCTTCCAAGAGGTCCTGCAGAAGTCGAGCGATGCGGATGTGGAGGAGTTGGCCTTCAAGGTTGCATCGCCGGCAAAGGTAGCTGGACCCAAGCTCTCGGCGGCTTCAGATTCTTCGCCCCTGCCGAAGAGCAAGGGCCTGTTCTTGCAGGGGCTCATTGGGAGTTCCACCTTCGACTCTGCCGAGCGGCAGCTTCTTGTCGAGCTGGAGGAGAAGCCTGCCAAGACCGAGAAGCCTGCCCCGAAGCCCAAGAAGAAAGCAGCAAAGGCAAAGCCTAAGGCTGCCAATGCGAAGAAGAGTGCAGCGAAGCCGAAGAAGGAGACCCAGAAAACCAAGGCCACAGCTGGCGAAGATGCGGCGATTCCGGACAATGAGACCAAGAAATCCCAGGCCACATCTGGCGAAGATGCGGCGATGCCGAAGGAGGAGACCAAGAAAACCAAGGCCACATCTGGCGAAGATGCGACGAAGCCGCAGAAGGAGATCAAGAAGTCTGCGACGAAGCCGCAGAAGGAGATCAAGAAGTCCGCAGCTGATGAAAGCTGTGGCAGCGACGAGCTGAAGGAGGCGGCTGGGCAGGAGAAGGTTGCTCAGACTGGCCGGAAGCGAAGCCTCGCCGACCACGAGATCGACCTGTCGACTTTGAGGAAGCGACTCACGAGCCGAGCTTACCACAAAGCTCACAACCTGGCGACGAAGCAGGGCAAGAGTGATGCTGAAGCGAAGGACTGTGCTAAGCGGGCCTCGGCAGAAGCCTCGGCTCAGTTTGAAAAGGATTACAAATCCAAGGGGGTCTGAAAGGCGACCGTCGTGTATGCAGTTCACGGGCACGACTGTCCTCAGTCATGCTAGAGGTTTGTGTGGCTGCCCGACTTTGTCAGCTTTTCGAGATGCGACTTTGCCAGCATTTGACAAGTGCCCGGGGTATCCTGGTCGTTGTGTTATGGAAAATGCTGTTTTTTGCCGGGAGTGTGTGTCTGCATATACATGTTCATGTCAGTTCATGTGTGATGCGACTGCAGAAGGTTGTGCAAGCAGGCTGAGCCCCGAACCCTATAACTCCGAACCCCCCGACCCTAAACCCTGATGTGTGCGAGCTCTCTGCAAGTTTCTATGTGTCAGTCCGAGATAGGAAGCAGGCACCGCCAAACCTACAGGAACCAGACATAAACACATTTCAAGCCTTTTTTGCTTCAACCCTAAACCGTATAAGTATAGGCCCTCTAAGCGCTATAAACCCTCTAACCCTTCGGTGGGGTCTTTCAACATAGGCTTTTAGCAAAAGCACCAAAAATAAGTCACTATAGGTTGTGTCGATGCAAGCCATGTCCTTTGGGCCTCGAGATCGGGTTTTTGTGCGAAACTTGTTGTTTGCAGCTTCCGAGAGGGAGATTCGGAGTGCGGTGGCTCAGCTGGGAAACTACAGAGTGTCGAGTGTCAGACTGCTGCGATCTGGAAAGAGCTTGAGCACGAGCCGCACATGTTCTGCTTTCGTGACTGTGGAGTCCGAGACGGCTGCAGAGTCGCTGGCTGGACAGCTAAATGGTCTGTTTGTGCCTGGGCTGACTTTTTCCTATCTGTCTGCTGAGCTGGCGATTCCTCGTATGTCAAGCCTGCAGGCCTGTGGGTGTGGGTGTGTATGCCTGCCCAAAATTTGCTGCCCCAAGAGGCTCATGTAGAAAAAAAGTAGCAAAACACTGATAAACCCTAAACCCAAATCTCGAAGCCGTAAGCCCCAAGCCCTAAACCCTAAACCCAAAGCCCTAAACCCTCGCCCTGATGTTTTAGGAAGCCCAGGGTTGAGGGGTTTGGGGTGCTTAGGGTTTGGGGGTTTAGGGGTTGGGAGTTTGGGGCTTAGGGCTTTGGGTTTGGGGGTTTAGGGGTTTAGGGGTTTTGGGTTTGGGGTTTACTATGCAATATTATGCAAGATACTGTTACAAAAACCGTACTAGATGCTACCAAACAGTAATTGTAGTAGAATAGTAATATATAAGTATACGAGAACTTTTCAACACCCTTCCCCGAGCAACACTTTTGCAAATATAGCATAAAGACTTTGAACAACATGTGAAGCTCCGAAGCCTGTGTGAACCTCAAGCCTCAAGCCAAAGCACTGCCACCAACCGGAGGTGCAGCATCCTCCTACACCGCCACCGCCGAGCCCGAGAAAAGCCGAAGAGGAGGACCCCATGTTTTCTGAATCAAAAGAGTGTGCGGGTTGGAGTTTCCATATTCGTATAAATGAAGCAGTGCAGCATTCGGAAAAAGGCAGCACGAGGCATTTCAGGTATACCACACAAGCACGATTGCACTGCCTATACATGCATGCTGTTGCCTTGTGGTGTTGTGCTGATGCTGTAAGCCCTATATGTATAGAAAGCCTAGAAACCCAAACCATGTTTCTGGCTCTGTTCAACACAGGACGATGATGCTGCGGGCTGCAACATCAAGAAGGAGGCCAACAGCACAGAGGAGTTTGGGCTTTGTTCCGGTTTAGGGTTATGTAGGGTCGTTATAGGGTCTTTTAGGCTTTACAGTTTAGGGTTTTTTTTTGCGGGTTCATAGGTTTTCTTTCGGGATTTCGGGTTTAAGGCTGGTGCTTGGTTTTGTATAGGTAGAGTCTTTGAGGTTTTTGGATTTCGACTTTAGGGTTTCAGGTCGTCTTGTGTTTTTGTTGATAGTGTTATATAGACTTTGAGGCTTTAGTTTAAGGTTTTCGGCGCTTTTTACAGTGTGCTTTGGGTTCTCAGCTTAGGAGTTTTCAGGGTTTAAGAGTTTATAGAGTTTGCGGCTTTATGTCGTCTATTAGGCCTTTGTTAGGGCATTGTAGTTTATGGCTTTAGGGTTTAAGGTTTAGGGTTAGGGGTTTGGGTTTTTAGGGTTTTAGGGTTATAGAGTTCTCGATTTTACGTAGTCGATTATAAGCATATATCTATTCGGGCAGTATAGTTTACGGCTTTAGGGTTTAAGATTTCGGGTCAGGGGTTTTGGGGCTTAAGGTTTCTAGGCTTTATAGAGGTTTTGGCTTTATGTAGTCTATTAGGCATGTATTGGGGCATCATAGTTTAAGGCTTTCGAGTTTAAGGTTTAGGGTTAGGGGTGGGGCATCATAGTTTAGGGCTTTATAGAGTTTAAGGTTTAGGGTCGGGGGGTATTTTAAAATTTTAGGGCTTAGGGTGTATGTATGTATATATATATATATATACATATATACATATATATATATATATGTATAGGCTTTAGGTTTTCGGGGTTATAAACAGTCTCTGAAAGGATGCCTCGGCTTCATCCCTGCAGCGACAGAGCAAGGGCAAGGACAGCAGCAGGGTTTAGGCTTATGGTTTGTTTGGGTTTGGGGATTTTAAAGTCTTTCGGAATTTTGGGGGCTCCAAGATCTCGTGCTCGGGGAAGTTAACAGGTTATGCAGGGTTTATGCCTTGAAATTCAAGCCTCGAGGGTTCTGGGGTTGAAGGTTCAGAGCTATCTGGTGTGGGTTCTGGATGTTAGAGGTTTCAGTTTGGGGTTCTATTGGCCTTCAGGGCTTTAGGGTTGTGTTGTCTTTTGTGTTTTGGGTTTTGCGGGTATATAAGGTTTAGGTTTTCGGGTTTATAGGGAATCTGGCTGATGTTCCCCAGGATTCGTCTTCGACTTCAAGATCAGGATCAACGAGGGCGAGGCCAAAGGACAGCAGCAGGGTTTAGGCTTAGGGTTGTTGGGGTTTTGTTTTCAGGGATCAGACTCTCGAGGGTTTGCGGGGTTTTAGGTTTAAGCCTGTAAGGCTTTGGGGTTTGAGGTTTTGGGTTAGGATCTGTTGGATAGCAAAATCTTCATAGGGCTGCTTTTGGCAGTTTGGGGTCCAGGTCTTCATTGTTTTAGGGTTCAAGGTCTATAGAGTTGTGGGGTTGGGTTTAAGGTTTCAATCAAGGGTGCTCGTAGGGTGTGGGGTTTGTGGGTTGGGGCCTTGTGTCTGCAGGAGTCAAAGAAGTCGTCTCGATCATCGAGGAAGAAGGACACAGCAGCAAGCTTAGGGTTTATATGGGTTGGAGGGGTTTCCAGTTTTCAGAGAAATTTAGGAGGGTTTGGAAGAATTTAGGCCTTTAGTGCTTTAGGGTTGTATGTCGGCATTTGTGGCTGTGTTGTGGGCGGTCATGGTCCTAGTCGATAGGAGCCTTTGTCATCAATTGGGACCACGGGGTTCTTTACAGTGCGGTGTTCAGGGTTTGGGTTTTTCTGCAGGAAAGCTCGTCGTCGACATCGCCAGCAAACTCAGAGATCAGGCGAAACCAGGACAGAGTCAGGGTTTCGGTTTTTCTGGTTTAGTTTTTTCTGCTTCTTTGGCTTTAGTGGGATTATGGCTTCCCGTTGGTGTAGGGTTTGTGGGTTCGGGCCTTGTGTGTGCAGGAGTCAAAGAAGTTGAGGAAATCATCGACGAAGAAGGACAGCAGCAAGCTTAGGGTTTATAGGTTGGGGGTTATAGGGGGTTTGGTGGTCAAGGCTTCGGGGTTTTAGGGTTTAAGCTCGGGGGCTGTAGTGTTTATGGGGCTGAGCTCCGTGAAGTTCGTGAAATCGTTGGTAGTCCCAAAAAAATGGTCCCCTATATAACGGGGACCATTTTTTTTACAACCAGCCGGAAAACGCCCTTAAAAATGCCAAGCATCCTCACATCCTGTGGGGTTCAGGGTTTATGGGGAAGTAGAGTTTAGGGTGTACGGCTTGGATTCTGTGCTTGTGCAGGACTCGTCTTCAGCTGCATCCTCGGCAGAGGACAACAGCAGCACGGATGGAGGGTTTTTAGGGTTTAGGGCTCTAGGGTCTTCGGGTTTAAAGCTTCAGGGTTCTCGGGTTTAGGGCTTTACGGTTTTCGGGTTTAAAGCTCTAGGCTTTTCGGGTTTAGGGCTTTAGGGTTCTCGGGGTTGGTTTTCGGGTTTAGGGTTTTAGGGTTCAGGGTTTGGAGTTCATAAACCCCAAACCCTAGAAGCCCTACACCCTTAACACCCTAAAGCCTTAAAGCTGCAATCATAGAAACCCTGGAGCCTTACACCCCAAACCTCACAACCCTAAAGCCCTACAGCTTCAGAGTCCTGCACAAGCCCAAAAGCTTCAGGGTTTTCGGGTTTAGGGCTTTAGGGTTTTCGGGTTTAAAGCTTTAGGCTTTTCGGGTTTAGGGCTTTAGGGTTTTCGGGTTTAAAGCTTTAGGCTTTTCGGGTTTAGGGCTTTAGGGTTGTCGGG